CATAACCTCCTAAATGAATATCAAAAGTTTTTAAGTAAATGTTTACATTTCATTTTCTCTACCATATCACTAACTGTAGATATTCTCATCAACATACAGTGCAATGAAATTTTTAAGATTAAGAAATAGAAAAAAATTTACATACCTTTTAATTTTTCATAAAAGATATTTTGGTTATAGTTGTAATTTCACGTCATTTCCTTTTCATATATAGTTAATTTTCAATGTTTTACTTTTCTTTCCTGTCCCTTACCATTTATTGCTCATCTCAACACAAGTTAACAGCACCCTCAGGGCATAATTACAGTATTTTCAGCAGAGATGCACAAGATCTTAAGCCTTAAGAACTGGCACAAAGTCTGATGTATATTTAAAAAACGTTTAAACCTTTCAGTTATGTATTTTTAAATAAAAATAATACATAATTAACTAACATATAAAAGTAAAACTTAAGTACAATTTACCCATTTCTCTCTCTAACTATAACATACTTAGGTAAGAAAAACTGTAAGTGCTATTGTGGATAAAGCAACCAACAATACTGCAGGCAGTTACATCTACCAGATGACAACAACTGCATGCCAATTTCAAAATAACTGTTGTTGGATTATAGTGTAAAATGTAGCAACCACATGTATATTACAAAGATCAAGCAAAAGTATGGAAGGTGGGTGTGGCATAAGTCAGGGTCTGACTAAATTTATTACTGTTTCTACTGCATTCAGCCAGAAAACTTTGAAACATACGTGTCAATAGGGCAACTACACTTACTTATTGTCTAGACATACATCTACATGAGTGACATTATCTTAAACAAGATTGAGGATGCATAAGTTGAGATTTTCTACATTATAAACCCTCAGGCTTACCGCTGAGACACCAGAGAGTGATTTTAAATATATATATAATTTAAAACAATGCCATGACTCATTCATCACAACTTAACTACTGGCCAGGTAGGTAAAGGTTACAAAACCTTGTCTGATTAACTTATACTTACAAAAAGGAAGACATAATGACAATTACAATGGTTTATAGATTTCCAGGGGGTAGGAGAGAAGCAGAAAAAGAAGTTATTAAAAAAAACTTACTGACCTCTAGATTTTGTTGGTCTTGTTTTTCTCCTTGGTGCTGTTGATTTTTGTGAAAAGGTTCCTTAAAATAAATAAATGTATTTTATGAGTTTATCTTCTTGAATCAACAGATCACAGATGCATAAGTTACCTTTCTAAATTCTAAAAACTTGCTTTAAAAATTAATACATCGCTTATCAAAATTTCACAACTCAAAGATGTTAACTTTCCTAAAATATAGTATCATACTGCATTAAATTATATTCAAATTTTTTTTCTCAGGATATCATATCTTAAATTAGAAAATTTACTTACTTCAAGTTTTACTTTCATAAACATTTAATTTTACTGTTAAGCACTAACTTCAGTTACAAGCTTCTGCCAAGAATAATAGAACACTATTGTTTATCATATAACTTTGCATACAAAGAGCAGGTTTAGAAATTGAGACATTTGAGTAAATTCATTACTTGGAAACCAATTTACTGAATCAAAATTTGATAAATCTGTATCTTTTGACCAAATTTTGTTATATACAAGTGTCTAAACCATACTTTAAAATCTCGGTGTAAGAGAAGATATGACATTTCTAAATAATTTAAGATGATAATTAGTGAGTACTAATCTTAATTTTGAAGAATCTAAGTGAAGCAAACTGCCTTATGACAAAGAAACTAGCCATATTTTTAAACTTTCAAATTACCAACTTGTTTTATAAAATTTACTAACAGTGCATCATATTAAGTAACTTTATGTTCATATCTGTTACGACAATTAGTAAAAAGATCTGACTAAAACATCATGTAAAATCACTCATTTTTTATGTAAAATACATGAAAGACCCCATCATCAATCAGTGGAATTCATTAAAATATTTAAAGTATGTTTATTTTAAATTATTTTGTGTGACACATATATTATTAGGGCACGTAACCAATAAAATCACAGAGCCTCAAACAATTTGGTGCATAAATAGTTTAGACAAATGTGTTTTAAAAAAAGTCAACAGGGTCTATATGAACCTCTTTGGTAATAATCATGAAGTCAATGATGTAGTATGCATATGCACAATACAGTTCAAGACAACATTGTTGTAATAATGTTGCCAGGCTGGGACTTTTTCATTTTCAAATTTAATTGTTTCAAAGCTTAATTTTATGAACAAAAACATATGTAAATATAAGGATCTAAAAGTAAACATGTATATTTTGTTGAAAGTTTTTGGTATGTTTGAAAGTAATATGGCAGGTACTTGTTAATGGTTTTTTGGATCAAATGCAAGCAATATGAGCAGGGTGAGGATTTATTAGTATAATTAGTCTATCACTGAACTGGAAACACCATAATGAGACTGTCCATACCATGCCAACAAACAAAAATGCATAACTGTACTTTTTTTAAATTTCCATAAGACTGTCATAATTTACGTGTGATGCTGTAGATTTCATAAAATTGTAATTACATATATAATAATTTACATCAATGAGATAAGGTTACCAGTTTAAACCAACCAATCGATACAGAACAATTGAAGCTGACAAAGGTAAATCAACATACACAATAGTTTTAAGGCTAACAAAGTAAATTCACATACAAAATAGTTCGGGTTAACAAAGGCAAATCAAATACACAATAATCAGGGTTAACAGAGACAAACCCTTTGACTAATTTGCAACTCACACTTGTTTATTTGTTTGTTTTGAATTTCGTGCAAAGCTACACGAGGGCTATCTGTGCTAGCCGTCCCTAATTTATCAGCGCAAGACTAGAGGGAAAGCAGCTAGTCATCATCACCCACCGCCAACTCTTGGGCTACTCTTTTACCAATGAATAATGGAATTGACCATCACATTATAATGCCACCCATGGCTGAAAGGGCGAGCATGTTTGGTGTGACGGGGATTCCAACCTGCGACCCGCACATTACGAGTCGAGTGCCCTAACCACTTGGTAATGCCAGGCCGTCACACTTGTTATTAATCTTTTAAGCACTAAAGAAGTAAATTATAGCAGCAGAAAACATTTTAATGGTGTATACACTAAATGTTCGTAATAAAAAGTTTTCACATTTTGTCAATTAAGCAAACTTGAATATTATAAATTCATGAAAAGCCATTTTTAAAATGTTTAACGAACTCTAATATAATACAAACTAACAATATCAGTGCCTAAACAGACAGACACACAAAATTCATTAATATTACATCTGAAATTGATTTTCACATACACAAAACATTTTCTGTAAATAGTTTTATTAGATAAAGATATGTATTAAGAACTCTTACAATTCTAATTCAACATGTGACATATATCAACAACTGTGGATTAATATATAACATCAACTGACATGTCAAGCTTCCATAGATGACTCTGACACAACTCCTCATTCACATATTTGCAAACTGTTATCAATCTAAAATACTCTCCTGCATTAACTAAAGAAATCAGATATATTTTAACACAGATACTTACCAGTAGATGCAGAAGACTTAATCGTACCGCTACTAGTACTACTACACTGAGAAGTTTCCATTTCTGAAGCTATTGTTCCCTTATCAGATATTCCACTACTACCCATTACACCACCTGTTGTCATCGGTAAAAATTCTTCATCTGAGTCATCTGAAATCAAAAAAGGTTCCTAGTTAATTCTCAAACTAACATAAACACAACAAATGTCTTTCCTAATAACCAACAATCTTCAATACTGTAGTAATTTAGGTATCTTAACTTCAACAATACATAAATTCTTACGTAACATATTTTTCTGTAGTTTACAGACTTAAATAAAGGGCTATAAACTTACTTTTAATACCTTATTTATCTTAAAAAATTATATATGGCAATTTACCAAGTGAATGAGTTGACCAGCCTTTCTGAGGAAAGAGTGCATGTGTTGGAAAACATGGTTGTTTCAGTTGCCGTTGAAGCTCTTGTTCAACAAGAGCATAGTCTGCTGGGGCCATTGGCTTGCTTTGATTTGTACGGTTTGGTAAAACATTCGAAGTGTCTTCAGTGTCTAACAGATATTTATTTAATCCTACCTAAAAGAATTTCAAGTGCTGCAACTATTGAGAATTCCCTCTTATTTTCTCTATGGTTGAAATGCATTTTGTTAGTAGTCCCTCACAGTCTTGGTTTTATTGTTTTTTATAACAGTGAAGCATATAAAAAGTTTTGAAGCTATACACACATTGGATACATTATGCTTAATTTGGCTGTCAAATGCAGTCATGTAGTGTAGAAGTAAAATTGAAATATTGTAGTATGAAGTAATTTCTTTTCTCTATGAGACCTTTATTTTACTTTTTATTAACTATATTTTTGTGCACCAACAATAACAAGCACGGGGCGTGCATATATCCAATTTGATTTAATTACTCATCAGGAACTCTACCAGCCTATGATCAAATTGAAATTCTTCTAGGCATCGATTAAAATAAATTAATTTACGAGGCCATGGGCATGGTCAAATACATCAATCGAAAGGGTTTGACCTCCTGAGTCCAAAACTGTAATTAGATCTCAAACTGGTCAAGAGATGACAGAGCTACGAGCTAAAAGTTTGTACTTGAAAAAAAAACAAGAAAATAAAAACACTCAAAGCCATTTTATGATTTGCTATGCCATGGCTAGAAATATGGCTTCTTTCAGATGTTGAATAATCATTTTTACCATCCACTCTTATTTTAAATACTACTGCAGTGAATGTCAGTGACTATTATTTTCACCTAATTTCAAATAGATATAATCTTTTGGTTTTCTTCTATCATAATTTTTCTGAATATATGTTATTATGCTGTCTATGGACTAGCCTTATAGTCACTTCCTGTTTCAATGTACTGGCTTTTAAAACACTGGTGTACCAAGACAAGTTGTTTTTAATTACAAGAAAATTAGGAGAGACAGGCTGCATTATTTCCCCTGCATGTTGGTTTCTTTGTAATTTATTCCTTCTTTTATATATATATATAAATTTACAAGAGTTTGTTTTTGATAATGTTGCATATTATTGTTTTATTAAATATCACACAGACCATTTATTTTGTAACTCATTTACCCCTTTTAAAGTAAAACAAAATTATATGGTTGTGTTGTGGCTGTTTACTTTTTCAAAATATGTTTTTTTTCCACATTATTTATTTTAGTTGTTTCTGTTCAAAATCACATAACTCAGCACATACACAACACTAGACAAAACAACACAAGTTGTTCCAGCACAAAATACACAAATTCCATCAGATAACATGTAATTTTTTTCTTTCACACACACACATACAAAACAATATCATGGAAATTATAAAGCCCCAATTACAAGTAAGTGCTAACCCTTCTAACATACAAAATTGAACAGCTAAACCTACATGCTCCATAATGAGTCATGTGCCCCATTTTGGTTAATTTCATGCAAAAATTAAAAACTCCTTCAAACGCAATCTGATATTATGAAAAAATCCAATAATTATATTTCACTCTTACATTACTGCGTATACAACCTGTGAAAGAATCCCATAACACTGTTTCATCCCTGTGTTATGGGACATCCATATTGGGAAAGACCCAATAATTATGTTACACTCTTACATTACTGCGTATACAACCTGTGAAAGAATCCAATAATACTGTTTCATTCTTGTATTATGGGACATCCATAATGGGAAAGACCCAATAATTATGTTACACTCTTACATTACTGCGTATACAACCTGTGAAAGAATCCAATAACACTGTTTCATCCCTGTATTATGGGACATCCATATTGGGAAAGACCCAATAATTATGTTACACTCTTACATTACTGCGTATACAACCTGTGAAAGAATCCAATAATACTGTTTCATTCCTGTATTATGGGACATCCATATTGGGAAAGATCCAATAATTATGTTACACTCTCATATTGCAGAGTAATCATATTGTGGAACATCTAGTAATACTGTTTCACTCCTGTATTACTGAGTAGCTATACTGTGAAAGATCTAGAAAAAATATTACTGAGTACTCATACACTCATGCTAACAATGTATTAAACTGTTTTCCAAAATATTGAGTACTTTTTTTAATACAGTGTAGGTCATAATCTTCAGAGTCTACATCTGACTATTGCTGCGAGGGCAACGTAAAAAGAACTTTGAAAAAATAAAAGAGAAAGAAGTATGTCACATTGGAACTGTTAGGCTAACTTAGAAGTAATCCTTCAACCTTTTAAAATTTATAAAGTGTATTTTAGGTAAACATACCAGGCCGAGCTAGTCCCTTCATTAACTCAAACAGTATGTGAACTTGACGTGGTGTGAGTAATGCTGCCACTGGGCCAAAGTGAAATTCCACTTCCACCTGAAATAATAGAATGCAAAAACATATAGTAAAAAAGCAAAAAAAATACAGTACTAATAAAAAGCACTGCCCCACTGCATAATTTTGGCCACATGTACACACAAATAACTTTGTAGCTGGTACACTTAATGGTCTTGGGTATGGGTCAAAACATTATACATCCTGGAATGCAGGTGCTGATCAAAGCATGAACTTTTCATGGTTATCCTATTGAATATAGCACAATATAGGAGCTTAAGAGATTAATGAAACAATTGCTAGTGTAAAAAAACGTCCTCGGCAGTAAGATTGGATGGCTTATTAATTCAACAGCTTCATTTTGAGTTTACTTATTGATTTAAATTATTTTATTACAAGTTACAGCTTTTACAGTAAGGAAGATTAATTTTCGAACAAGTACAAGGTTTCAATCACTGGTGCAACTATTCTCAAGTACACAAATATTTAATGGTAAGAAACATTTGAGTATTTAAATAAACAAGCAGGAAATGCTCATGAAGGCCACAGTACATGTGGGAGAGTGAAATATATTTTTAATTTGTTTTTTGAAAATGACAATGTGTGTGTGGTTGTATATTAACTTTAAGAAGTGTCATTGTAAAGCTCAACACACATCTTTTACAAAGGTTTAAGCACTTGTCTCAAAGCAAAAATATTTCATATGAAGCGTTGAAATTTTTTGCTATCTCAATCCTTATTTTAAACTGAAATATGTTTTTGATGCTGTAATGCATTTCTTGGTCAAGTAAAACTTTTTATATATATGTAGTATTGCAAAATTATGTGATTTATTAGTGAAATAAAATTACCAAGTTTTTGAAATTCGTAAGATTTTTAATTTGTAATTCATTTCTGACAAAAACCACAAAAATCAATTATCAAACTTGACTTTTTTTTTATCAATATGGTTCATATAAATATTAATTATTTTGAAACTATTTTTACTTTTCCTCGGTTTTGTAAACATAACACATACATATATAATTATGTGAATAGTTCAGCCTATTGTCCAGCAATTATGACAACATAGTATCACTAAGCAGCTGGGAATTTACTTGTGGTGAATGGCAATTATTAACCATACAGTAAATAAATAAAGTTACTTATTACTGCCTATACCTTGTTGATCATTCACTATTAGACATGGGAAAATCTGAAATTAGCAAGGGTGTAAGCTAAAGCATCCAAATATCAATGCAGTCTTATCCCATATGCATTTCCTGTCCAGCATCCAGTGGGCGAGTGAATTTAAGATGTACTGTAGTTATATCAGTGAAACACATGACACACTGGCAATATTTCTAATATTTTTCCATCACTGTACTGATAGCCTAAAAAACTCGTAGAATAATTAATTCTTTACTTCTTTTCATCAAAATACATTCTTCATAATGAATCATTTTATATTATTCTATAAAAATACTATTGCATTGTTCAAAATATTTTCAAGCATTTATAGAACAGACTGAATTTTACAGTGATACAAAGGGTCTTAGCTGCTCTAGTCACACAATGTGTAAGTATATTAACCCTTCTGAGATTGGTTACAAGTAAAAGGCTATGTAATTTCGTTTGTTGACTCACATTTAAAACCTTAATGAACTACTATTTCATGAACTTATGTCAATAGGTTTGGTATCAAACTGTAGATTATAATTCAAATTTTTGTACTATATATTACTCAATTTCTTAACTTAAAAGTAAATATTTAAAAAAAAAGATAAACATCAATTTTTGTGTGTCACGTGGTATGTTTAATGCAGTACTGGTTCAGATTAGATGTTTGTGAAGTCCAAATACTAAGTCTACAGTTTCGTACGAATTAGAAACTCAAATTATAGATATTGACAAGCTAGAATATAAAATAAGAGCCTCTTATCTTTTCTATTTGCTAAGATATTGCTCATGTAATAAATCAAACACTGGCACCATACCCACCTCTTTCCATTTTTGGAAATGCTAAGCTCAGAATGTCCCCCTAGTGGTTTTTAAAAATTTCTAATGTGACTTGCCCCATTTTTTCTTTTGTAACCAAGATTTCAATGAGGTAGGTCGTGTTTTTTAGTCTGCTCGAAAATTCATATTTTTTTAGAGTAAAATATATCTTAGTTACTAAGCTTGATAAATTATAGTTGAATTCTATGGTATTGATGTAGTAATTTATGATTTTTTAGTTATTCATATGCATATATAAAACCTGAAAACAAAAAATTTTGTTTCATATCCTCCACATGCAAAATTTTTAAAGGCTTAGCAACCTACGTCAAGCAGCAACCAAGTACAAATGTTGTAACTAGAAGAGATAATTGTTTGCTTTACTTCTTTATTTACAGTTCTATATTTTAGGAAAGATATGTTTAAGAACTTATTTCAAAATAGCAATAATCTATATACTAAATACTAGTCAACTAAAACACAACCAAAACAAGTTACTTTGTACAGACCAAAGGTCAGTTTTATGTGATTTGATACAGTAACATGAGTGCACATGAGCCATGTCATTGTAACTCTGTATTGTTAGACCAAGGCACGAGTGAAAGGACAATATA